TACTGTATCTCCATTTTCCCTTCGCCGCTTATATCAACTCGGTTAGACTGGTTGAGAATCTAGGAATTGTTACTACCAAATCTCGGTAGTTTGAGCAAATCGTTGTTTCACCTTTCAACTTGCCTCCACATATCTATATGTGGATCAACTCAGTAAGAGGGCAAACTCTAGTGAGAATTTCACTATAGAGTCTCTATGTGGATCAATGCTTCTTTTTTAATCAATCTCCCTTAGAACGAAAACTCTTCCTTCTTAGAGAAAATAGGGTTTCGGAGTCGCCGTTTTAGAGGAGGGGAAAAAGGTGATTGAGATTACTCCCTCTCCAATGTCCGGTGCTTTTGCCGGCATCGTTAGAGGATAAAATTTGCAAACTAATAGTTTCTACATTCGACATGAAGTCTAGAGGATGTCCTGGAGTTTTTGGTTTGAAGATGATGCGATGTTATTCGCCGTCTGTTTTTTATTAGTTATTGTGATTGTCTTGATTGGGTTTAGTTATTATGCGTGAAGTTTTTAGTTGAGATTTTTTTCCTCGTAGAAGATCTATGTTTAGTTTTCAGTCAATTCTGACTATCTATTTGACTTAAGTTTTGTAGTTCAAACTTGTTCGACGGCGGCTTCACTGAAGCTAACTTAGAATAATATTGACAAAGGCAATCAAAGAAAGAGATTTATCTAAATTAAGAGAATTGTTATCATCGTAATAAATTTTGGAAGTCTGGCTGCTATTGTGGATTCGGGAACACCTAATTGTCTACCTTCGATTCGAGACAAGATTATCTTGGTATCGCTAATGTGTCGTCAACGATTATTATCGTCACTTAAATTCTGGTGCGGAAAAGACCATTAGTTTCTCTTTGTATTTTATTTGTTGAACTTTTTCAATAACGTAATTTATGATTTTTAAATAAATTTTAATAAAATACAGTGTTACAAAAATATCTAGTTTCATTTAGTCATTTTGTTGTCAAGGATTTTTAGTCCATCTTTTACATAGAGGTGGAATCAAATTATCGTGTGGTCAAAAATCTTGCAGAAATGACAATATCATTTACACTAATGGATTCGAACCCAAAAAACATCTACTCACATATATTATCATGTTGGTATTAGATTATTTCCTAATTAAGTTGACAAAAAATATATTAAATTCGATATTTGATATAACCAGTAGAATATTATGAT